TCACACAAGTGTTAATATATATTATTGAGACATTTTCTGTCCTGTGCTTTGACAGCTTTCATCCTTAAGCTGATTAAATGTGAGAACATATTTTCATGAAAATGTGTAAAAATAAGAGCTGATTAAAGTTTTTAGGTTTTGAGTTTTCTCAAGGAGCTTTTACCGGTATAAGAAATATAGAATAACAACGATGAGAAGAATGAATCTGTTCTGGAAGTGTGTGGTGGACATGTTGCTTTAGCTCCACTGTCAGAAATTTAAATGGTGTTCTATGTTTTGCTTCCTAAAAGCAAAATGCTTGTAAGCAGATTGCACATTAATGCTGACATGTTCTAGTGTTGTTGTTGTTGACCTGCTGGTGAGGCCAGTCCACTGGGTGCTCATGTCTTGTCCTCTACTGCCCCCTGCAGGTCTGATGACGTGGAGAGCATGGTAAAGGTAGGTCTCTTTGTGAAGAATTGTCCACTGCTACAAAAAGATACAGGATTTCTGATTGTGAACGTATAACAGACAATACTTGAATTTAATAATTTATATGATGGCTTATTCATTGAAGCAAAATAGCCAAAATAAACTACCACCATCTGCTGTGCACTGAGTTTCATTTAGGGAGAATATACAATATGACAAGTGCCATCTGCTGTTTTTGATCTAAATCTCCTTATGGCACAGTGAGCGTTTAAATAAAGATATGTTGTCGGTTGATATTCATCTGGATTCAGAATATACAGTTTCTTTCCTCAACTGACAATTATCCATGCTGTTTAAAATACAAGCTTCTGCAAAATGTAGTTTTAATAATTTAAAGAAAGTTGTAAGACCCAGTTAATATAAAATAAGACATTTCTGGACTTTCTCACAGCCCGACCTGCGATGTTATCCTGCCTTAAACCTACAATAAACTACAGGGGGAAAGTCCTATGAGTCAAGTGTGTGTTAATTATTTGTCTTTTTTTTCCAGATTACGGAGCTCTTCTACAGAGACAAGCGCTTCACCAAGGAAGGCTCCAAGCCTGCTGGTAAGAAAACACAGACACATCATATCTGTCAGTGTTCTCACATGCAAGATGTGTGTGTTTGTATGTGTGCGAAAGAGAGAAGCTTTGTGTTTTTGTGTATCAATCAGTCACATAGTGGTTTTCAAACTTGCAGACAGCACTCTCTGCATTCAAGACACTTTCCTGCTATAATTCAGATGACAGAGCAATCCTGTGTGTGTGTATGTGTGTGTTTGCGTTTATGTTCAGTCTCATTAGCAGCAGACTGCTGACCGGCCCGCTCCTCGTCATAAAGCCCGTGTGTTTATGTCGAGGTGTGTGTCGGTGTGTGAGAGTGAAAGACCTGCACTCTCTCCGTCTGAGGAAACAGAGCCTGGCTGCTGACACAGCGCTGACTAGTTAAAGTGTGTGTGTGTGTGTGTGTGTGTGTG